ACTCAGTCTCAAAAAAAAAAAAAAAAAAACAAAAAGAGAAAGCATCCCAGGATTTGCATGTGCAAAAGTCTGGGAGGTACAGAAAGGATTTCAGAGTGGCTGGAGCAGAGAAGGGAATGGGGAGAGCAAAGACTGGCAGGGACCAGGTCATATGGGCCACCAGAGTCAAGGTTCTAGGAATATAGGAGGATCTAAAGCAGGGGAGAAACATGGGTTTGTGTTTGAGAAAGACCCATCTGGCCACTGCAAGGACGGTGGACACTGATGGAGACCCCCCCTTTCCCTGCAGACCTTTGCAGCCAGTCCCTTCTCAGACCCCTTCCAGCTGGATAACCCGGACCCCCAGCCCATCGTGGATGGCGAGGAGGGGCTTATCTGGGTGATTGGGCCTGTGCTGGCCGTGGTCTTCATAATCTGCATTGTCATTGCTATCCTGCTCTACAAGAAGTAAGCCGCATGTCCTCCCTGACTTGACAGCAGGGAGGGCTTCCTGGAAAAGGAGGGAGGACTTGTCTCAGAGAATCATCACTAAGGGTCTCTGTTGTACACATGGGGAAATGGAAATTCAGAGAGGTTAAGCCACTTGATCAAGGTCACACAGCATGGGAATGGCAGAGCTAGGGCTCAAAGCAGGCCAGTGGCTTGGCTTCTCCTGTTAACCCCTGTCTTCACCTCAGCAAGATGATTTGGGGTAGAGGCTGCCTGCATCCAAGTTCAATGAGGATAGCAGTTATAGTGGCCCCATGGGGCATGTCCCAGCTTAGAAAGGGAGGGCTGAGATAAGCCTCCTTGTGGTATCAATAGGCAGGGGGACAAACAAGAAAGAGGAACGCCATTTTCCAGAGGAGACCAAAGCTCAGGGAGGTTAAGGAAGCCACTGAGAGTCACAGACTAAGCCCTTTGTGGCCAGCACACCCTCACCTTTCTTTTTTTCCCCCCTTCTCACCTGTGTCTGCTTTCGGGAACAGCAAACCTGACAGGTAAGAACCAGCCCTACCCCCTGGAGGCTTCAGGCAAGAGGAGGAAGACAGGGAATGGGTTGATACTGTGCCCACGGGAGAGGGGATGTCTGGCTGCCCCCACAGCTCATACATGTATCCGTACTTGGTCCTGGAAACCCCAGTCATATGGGTATACAGTCCTTTTCCGACCATACATTCCTGGGGCCTGAATTGTATTCACACATGAACATGTCCCAGTACTAACTGGACTGTTCTGCTTGCTTCTCCTAAAGTAAACGCAAGGACTCAGAACCTCGCACCAAATGCCTCCTGAACAATGCTGACCTCGCCCCTCACCACCCCAAGGACCCTGTAGAAATGAGACGCATTAACTTCCAGACTCCAGGTATGTACTTATCCCTGGTACCAGGGATACCACCAACAGGGGAGATAGCTGGTGAGAAGCAGTAGCTGCCACCCTGGGGGCCCCTCATTGGCCCCCTCTGAACTATGCTTGGTGCAGCCACATTCTTGATTCCCAAATACCTCCCACTCTACGTGGATCTGGGCTTGGAACTCATAGGTTGGTTCTGCTTACAACCAAGTGAGACTTTTTAAGTTAACATTTAACTGATAGCTGCTGTCCTCTTCAGGAGCCTAAAGATGATGTTTAAAAATAAAAAACGGAGAAAACACAAAACTACCCCTCATTTCTTTGGGCAGAAAGAGCTGTTCTTCTGTTTATCTCTCTAGTTTTAATGTTCCTCAGTGGTGAGAGTTAAGGTTTGCCCTCAGCCATTTTCCACACTCCCTTGGGATATATCCCTAGCAAGGTACAGAAATTATACCTGCCCCACGCCTTGTACCTCTTCCCACCATGGCTGCTGGGGCTCATGCCTCTTTACAGTTCCCTATAAAGTCACCTGCCAGTCAAGGAGAACTGAATCAAGGTCTTATCCTTGATCATTTCCATGTATGATTTACAAACTCCACCATCACCCCCTTCTTCATGGGCTCATGCCAGCTGCTTCTAACCAAGTAAGAAATTTTTCATTTTACTGATGGCTGCTATTCTCCTTATGGGTTCACAGCCTGGTTACATCTGTCCTTCCAACTGTACCGGTCTCCACTTCCTATCTCTGAACTGATTCATATCAACTCTATTTTCCAACCAAACGGAGATTTTAAACATTTGTATTTAACTGATGTCTTTAGTCCTCCTTAAAGCCTCGTACACAGCCTCACATGCCATTCCTGATGTACTTTCTTCTTTTTGTCTCTGGACTGGCTTGTGTCACTTCTGTTTTCATCCAAATGAGGAGTTTGACCATTTGTATTTAACTGATGACTGCCGTCCTCATAAAGGGATCATGCAGGGCCTCATGTATCACCCCTCGTGTATTCTCTTCCCTTTCGTACCTCTGTACTGATTCATGTTGCTTTGGTTTTTCAGCCAAATGAGGATTTTAAATGTGCATGTAATTGATGGCTGCAAGTCTCCTAAAGGGATCATGAAGAGTTTCATAATTCACTGCCAATGTGTTCCCGTTTCATTTCTGTCTCTGGACTAGCTTATGTCTGTTCTGTTTCCATCCAAATAAGGATTTTCAACATGTGCATTTAACTGATGGCTGCTGTCCTCCTTGAAGCTCATGGCATGGGCCCATATGTCCTTTCCCTGCTCCCCCAGCTTCTCCTTCACCATCCTGCATCCTCCTTCCTCAGAATGCCCTCTGCTGACCTCAACAGAGGGGACCCAAGGCCAGGCTGGTCTGGGGGAGGGGATTTATAGACAGAAGAACCTAGCACTTTGGAGTCCTTCCAGAGTGACGGGTCAAGACCAGGACTGACTGGCGTCCAGCCAGAGGGGTACACAGTTAGCAGCTATCGTGAGTCCACAGGTGGGGGCCCAGGTGGCTGTGCGTCCCCCATGTTGTCCGCATTGCTCTGCCCTTTGCATCCGCCAGCCAGTGAGGGGTGGGGGAGGCAGAGGTGGAACCCCCCCCACCCCCTGCATGTTTTCATTTATTTATTGTTTGCTGTTTGCAGATTCAGGCCTCAGGAGCCCCCTCAGGGAGCCGGGGTTTCACTTTGAAAGTTAGTTTCTGTGTCTGTTTTTGGCTTCCTTTCGCCCCCCTGTTCGTTTCCTCTTTGGTTTCTCCATCCTGCCTCCTGTCTCTGTCCACGCGCCCACCCACCGCCGGCCCTTGCCCACCTGTCCTGTGCTGGCTCCTGGAAGAGGGCAGGGGGTTGGTCCATTGGGCCCTTAGGTGGCTGTGTGTTACTGCTGTGTATGTGGTGTGTGTGTGTGTGTCAGGGATGTGGGTGAGGCACGTATGTACCCCGCACGTGCCCACATGACAGGCAGGCCCCTTAGATGTGAGCTCTTGGGGGGAAGCTAGAGACACACGAGAGGCTCAGAACATCAGATGTTACCAACTGGCCTGGAAACCACCTGAGAGCTGAACATCCGGTACACAGGTCCCAGGAGAGGTCAGGGTTCTGCAGACCCAGATATTGGGAAAGGACAATTGAGCCCACACCCAGCGCCTCCAGCAGCCATCCGGCGGGGCTTGAAAGGATAAGAGCTCTCAGGCCAGGGCCTTCTTGCACCTGCTCCTGCCCCAAACAAGTGCAGGGACAGATGCGGGCCCCTCACTCCCCTCACATACATGCACACATACTGTTACCCCTCTCCAGTCCCTCACCTCTACCTGGAAGAGGATTTAGTGCCTCTGCTCCCACAGGGACAGTAAGGGGTGTCAGTCACCCACCCAAGGACAGTATTTCCAAAGCCCAGCCAGCTGCATCTGCCATTTAATTTCTGTGCAACAGACTTGCTTCTTGGCTCAAGGCACTGGGAGCTTGACACCTCCGGGGTGACCCTTCTGCCAGCCCCTGCACCCCCAGCCTGGTCAGAAGGAAGCAGGATGTGCCAACACTGTGATCCAGGCCCCTCCAGGGGTATCAGGCTCTGCCCCGAGCAGCGGCCTCAAACCTGCTGCCTTTAGAGTCCCCTAGGCCTGGGGTCCCAGCCCCTTCGTGAGCCACCCTGAGTCTTCCCCTCCTGCCAAGCCCCACCCCAGCCACGCCCTTCTAACCACAGCTCGCCCATCGCAGACTCACACGTAGAGCACCCCCTTCCCCCCAGTCCCCGGCCGGCCCCCTAGTGACCAACCCCGGCGGGGTCTGCTCCATCCTGTAGGTATGCTTAGCCACCCGCCAATCCCCATCGCAGACATGGCAGAGCACACGGAGCGGCTCAAGGCCAACGACAGCCTCAAGCTCTCCCAGGAGTATGAGGTGAGCCCGCCCTCCGCCTCCCGCCCTCATCACCTTGGCCTCACAGGCACCTACCCTGACACCCACGCCCTCCCCTTCCTCTCCAGTCCATCGACCCTGGACAGCAGTTCACATGGGAACATTCCAACCTGGAAGTGAACAAGCCGAAGAACCGGTACGCCAACGTCATCGCCTATGACCACTCCCGCGTCATCCTCCAGCCCATTGAAGGTAGCTCAGAGACCCCCGGTCTTAACCTGCCCTTCCCCACTGCACAGAAAGTGCTAGATCCCATGTCTCCCCTTGGCCACTGAGGCCTGATTCTGGTTATAGACCTGGTCCAGCTCCAGCTGGAGGCCACTGGGCATCTTTAGATATATATTTAACTGATGGCTGCTGTCTCTATTAGATATGTATTTAACTGATGACTGCTGTCTCTAACATGGCTTCATCTTTCCCTCTGCATCAGTTGTGATCAATCAGGGCAGTTCTGCTGCCCGGGGACATTTGGCAGTGTCCAGGGACATCTTTGATTGTCACATCTTGGGGGGAAGAAATGTTGCTGGCACGGAGTGGGTGGAGGGCAGGGATGCTGCTCGGCACCCTGTAGTGCCCAGAACGGCCCCACCACAGAGAGCAATCTGGCCCCAAATGGTGATAGCACTGACGGGGAGAAACTGTGAAGTACACGTCCCATGGTCACCTTGGGGACAATCTGGGAGCAGTCAGAGTGAACTTCCAGGAAGTGGTTGGCCAGACAGAGCTAGCCTGGCAAGACAGCCCCCACAGATCCCTGGCCTCTCGCCCCGGCTGCAGGCATCGTGGGTAGTGATTACATCAATGCCAACTACGTGGATGGCTACCGGCGTCAGAACGCGTACATTGCCACGCAGGGGCCGCTGCCCGAGACCTTTGGGGACTTCTGGCGTATGGTGTGGGAGCAGCGGTCGGCCACTATCGTCATGATGACGCGGCTGGAGGAGAAGTCACGGGTGAGCCTTGGACCCCACGGCCCTCAAGCCCTCGCCAGCCAGCCTGGACCTTGCTGACGCCTATTGTCTTGCCCGGTCTAGATCAAGTGTGATCAGTACTGGCCCAACAGAGGCACGGAGACCTACGGCTTCATCCAGGTCACGTTGCTGGACACCATCGAGCTGGCCACGTTCTGCGTCAGAACATTCTCTCTGCACAAGGTGAGGCCCGGGCTGGGGGCTGAAGGTGGAGGAATGTGTTGGAAGGGAGGCAGAGGGCCCCAGCTTCTACCCAGGGCACTCCCCATAGGACAGAGAGAAAGCCGAGTGTGTCTACCCAGACTGACTTCATTCTCGTGGAACCCACTTCCGTGGAGGGGGAAACTGAGGCTCAGAGAGGACACTGCTTGTTTCCACCCACGGCAGGACAAAGCTGGCAGAGCCCAACTCAGCAATGAGCCTGATTTCCTCTTGCCTTTACTCATGCCCCAGGTCCTCTTTGCCCACTGTCCTCTGGCCTCACCCAGCTTGAGCCTATGATGGGGCCTCAGCAGGGCCCCAGCCCTGCCTTCAAGGAGTGTCCAGACAGAGATGGACAGATACTAGCAGCCTTGTGAAGTCAGGGCTGCGATGGAGAAGATCTTTTAGATACGTATTTAACTGATGGCTGCTGTCCATAGTGTGGTTCCATCTGTTTTTCTCCATCTGTGGTTCTGAATTAGGACAATTCTGCCATCCAGGGGACATTTGTTGTTGTTATAATGGGGAGGGGAGGCGCTACTGGCATCATGATGTATCCCCAACACCCAGCCAGGTCATTGCACCATCAGGCACCTGCTTGATCTAAGTACCAGAAAACTGAGTATATGGACAAGAGTGAGTGAGAATTCTTGGTTCACTCACACACATTAAACACGTGTTATGTCTCACTCGCTAACCTGGACACAAGCACACAACAGGGACCTAAACAGACAAAACGTTCTGCCCTTGGGGGACTTAACAGTCTAGTATACAAGACACAGACCATGACTATGAAACGTCAAGAAAGCTTACGTGTTGAAGGAGAAGAATAGGGGAGAAAAACAGTGTCGGGGACCTGGAAGAGGGTATGATAGGGAAATTTGGGAGAAGAGCATTTCAGGTAAGAGGGTGTAGCCTACGCAGAGGCCCTGGGGCAGGACCGTGCCTGGCGTGTAAGAGGAACAGCGGGGAGGGCAGGGAGGGGACAGGGCAGGTCGTGCAGGATCCTGTGGACCTTGGGGAAGACTTGGGCTTCGACCATGTGGAAGGCAGGAGCCATGGAGGGCTGTGGGCAGAGGAGGGACCAGATCTGACTCAGGCACTCAGGTGCCCTCTGGCTGCTGCAGGGAGGACAGACTGGGGGGCTTGGGTGGGAGCCAAGGTCTGGGGCAAAGAGGGTGGTGACAGTTCTAGCCCAGGTTGGCCTCCATGGAGAAGAAGAGCAGGTGGATCGGGATAGACTTTGAAGGCAGAGCCGACAGTCCTGGGTGAGGTGTTAGATGTGAGAGGGGAGAGTTAAGGGTGACTCTCAATCTGTGGCCGGAGTGCCCAGAAGGTTGGAGCCACTTGGAGCCACCTTCAGCTAAGATGGGGGAGCAGGTTTGGGACGAAGGCCAGATACAGTTGACCATGTTGTGTGTGAAGAGTCCACAAGACTCTCTACTTGGAAACATCCAGGGGCAGCTAGAGCCCAAGTCAGGCACTTAGAGACGTGGAGACTGGGAGGTGCAGACATGGGCATTTTTTTTAGATGGAGTTTCGCTCTTGTTGCCCAGGCTGGAGTGCGATGGTGCAATCTCCGCAATCTCCACCTCCTGGGTTCAAGCGATTCTCCTGCCTCAGCCTCCCGAGTAGCCGGGATTCCAGGCATGCACCACCACGCCCGGCTAATTTTGTATTTTTAGTCGAGACAAGGTTTCTCCATGTTGGTCAGGCCAGTCTTGAACTGCTGACCTCAGGTGATCCACCCACCTCAGCCTCCCAAAGTGCTGGGATTACAGGCATGAGCCACCGCGCCCGGCCATTTGGGCATTTTCAGCACATGGGCGGCAGGGTGAGCCAGAGTGACAGGTGACATCCTTGTGGTCCCCAGAATGGCTCTAGTGAGAAACGCGAGGTCCGCCAGTTCCAGTTTACGGCGTGGCCAGACCACGGCGTGCCGGAATACCCAACGCCTTTCCTGGCTTTCCTGCGGAGAGTCAAGACCTGCAACCCACCAGATGCCGGCCCCATCGTGGTTCACTGCAGGTACGTCCACCCCGCTCTGCCCCATCCGCTTCCCCCGGCCCCCGCAGCCCAGCAGCCCCCTGAACTCCACGTGGCTGTCCCCGCAGTGCCGGTGTGGGCCGCACAGGCTGCTTCATCGTCATCGACGCCATGCTGGAGCGGATCAAGCCAGAGAAGACAGTCGACGTCTATGGCCACGTGACGCTCATGAGGTCCCAGCGCAACTACATGGTGCAGACGGAGGACCAGTACAGCTTCATCCACGAGGCCCTGCTGGAGGCCGTGGGCTGTGGCAACACAGAAGTACCTGCACGCAGCCTCTATGCCTACATCCAGAAGCTGGCCCAGGTGGAGCCTGGCGAGCACGTCACTGGCATGGAACTCGAGTTCAAGGTGCCAGCGGGGTGGAGGCTGCCGTGGGCAGGGTGGGGAGGAGGCCCAAAGAGCCAAAAACCAGGCTCGCCCCGAGCGATGGGGACTAGAAGGTGGCGGCGGGGTGCCCCTACCTACCTATCCACCATTGGTGCTCCAGCTGAACGCATAGCCTTCCTCATCCTAATGGTGGCCCTTGGCCTCCTCCTCCCCACAGCGGCTGGCCAATTCCAAGGCCCACACGTCACGCTTCATCAGTGCCAATCTGCCTTGTAACAAGTTCAAGAACCGCCTGGTGAACATCATGCCCTATGAGAGTACACGGGTCTGTCTGCAGCCCATCCGGGGTGTGGAGGGCTCTGACTACATCAACGCCAGCTTCATTGATGGCTACAGGTAGGTGTCATGCCTTTCTCACCTTGGGGCCCCAGAAGGACCCCATCTCTGCTTTCAAGAGGCCTCAAGTCTTGTGGGAGACAGAGCTGGAGAGATACTGGCAGTCCTGAGCTGTTTAAATACACATCTTTAGATGTATATTTAACCGATGGCTGCTGTCCATAATATGATTCCACCTGTTCTTCTATATCAGTGGTTCTCCACTGGGGTAATTCTGACACCCTGGGGATATTTCTTATTGTCATGATGACTACTACCGGCACTGACTGGGGGGACCAGCATCCTACAGTACACGGGACGGCTTGTCCCAGAGAACAATCCAGTGCCAAATGTCAATAGCACTGAGATTGAGAAATCTTGGCAAGAGAGGGGAGGGCGTTCCGGGCAGAGGGTGCCACACGTGCGAGGGCCCGGAGCTGAGAGCTGGGCCCATGCAAGCAGCTGAAAGTAAGGCAGTGGTCCTTGAAGGAGGTGGAGGGGAGAAATCAGGAGAGGTTAGCGGACAGTCCCACAGCTTTGTCAAGGGATTTGAATTTGTCATGAGGCTGGTGGTTTCCCTGCATGCAAAACGGGATCACCAGGAGGGGATGTGGTGCACCCGGCATCCATTCCTGGCAGGCAGTTGGGGTGGTAGGTGTAGCTGTTGCTGGCTTGGTCCTGACCCTCCTGGGGCAGCATCAGGTGAGGACCACGCTGGGTCTCCCCGCCGGCCCTGGGCTCACACACCCCATGCCTGCAGGCAGCAAAAGGCCTACATCGCGACACAGGGGCCGCTGGCGGAGACGACGGAAGATTTCTGGCGCATGCTATGGGAGAACAATTCGACCATCGTGGTGATGCTGACCAAGCTGCGGGAGATGGGCCGGGTGAGCCAGGGACCACGGCGGGGAAGGGCGAGGACCAGACTGTGGCTCAGACAGCACTGACCACGGCCACCCTCTCCTCTGCAGGAGAAGTGTCACCAGTACTGGCCGGCCGAGCGCTCTGCCCGCTACCAGTACTTTGTGGTAGATCCGATGGCAGAATACAACATGCCTCAGTATATCCTGCGAGAGTTCAAGGTCACAGATGCCCGGGTGAGTCTAGAGACAGATTGGCGGAAGGGGCTGGAGTCAGGCTGGGCCCCACAGGCTGTTGCCTTAGTGATCTGGAAAGGGCTGCCCTGTTTGGTGTTGGATACGAAGGCCGAGGGTTAGGGATGAGCGCTAGGAATCAGGAGAAATGTTAGCGGACCAGTTGGCCACTTGCTCTTACCATCGCATAGGTGGAAGATAGGGTCTTGTCTCTGTGCTGACCCTGTAGTGTCTCCACGCACTAGGGAACATGGTCCCAGGGGATGATATTCAAGGAAATGAATGGGGCTTTCCCCTGGAAGCAGCCACCTGTGGAGGATGATATTAAAAGGCTGAAAGGGACTTGAGGAATTGAGGGTGATGGGTGGTAGATGGGGGACAAGGAGAGTCAGATGGTGGGGATTGGCACCGTTGGGTGAGGAGAGATGAGTACGGATGGTGTTGGCTCAATGAAGGACTGCAGTGTCAGGTGGAGGGAGAAAGGCCACGTATTAGGTGGCAACAGATGAAGACTCATAGTGGAAGGTGGCCCTGTTGGGTGACAAAGGATCAAAGTTAGTGGTGGAAGATCGATGATGGTAGAGAATACAGTGAGGGGATGATAGAGGATGGGGAATGTTGGCCAAGATGACGCCAAAGGATGGTGAAGTCTGCTGAATGAACAGCCATCACTGGGCATTGTGCTGCAAGCAGTGCAAGATGGTGCCCTTGGAGGGGTGGAATCTGGAAATGGAGAGAAGAACACTTGCATAACAGGATGGAGAATGTCAGTGGAATGTGGTAGTTTGGGTCAGTGAAGGATGATGCTTTATCAGTGGCGGATGGAGAAAGAATTGGAGGAGGGCGAATGTTTGGCCAGCAGAGGGTGGAGAAAATCAATGGGAAATACTTTGACTAAGAAAGGACAGTAAACAATCAGTAGTCAATGGTATAAACCAATGGGTGGTACAAGATTAAGGAAGATGGGGTTGGGAAAGGAGATTTTGGAAAATGTAAAACATCAGGGAAAGATGGTACATTGGATGGCAAATGGTGGCAGAAGATAACAATTTTGGATGGCACCATTTTGATGGTGGAGAATGGGATTAGAACAAGGTAGATGATGGGGAATGGAGAATGTCAGTGGAAGATGGTACCTTTGGATGGTGGAGAGTGAATTGTTAGTGATGGATGGTGGAAAATGGCACCATTGAGTTGTGAACGATGGAAGATGGCAGAGAATGATGTGGTTGGATGGCACCACTGGGTGGTGGGAAGAGAGACTGGAAAGAAGAATGGTTGAGTAGTGAGGAATGAAGACAGTCTGTGGAAGATCCCATCATTGAATGGTTAAGGATGAGTTACCAAGAGGGGATGGTGGTAGATGATGGAAGATGATGGTGTCGGGTGGAACTGTTGGATGCCAGAAGGTAATGAGTTACCAGTGGTGGATGGTGGAAAACAGCACCATTGGATGGCAAAGGATGAATGATAATGGCAGTAGGTTGTGGAAGATAGTGTTGGATGATTTTGGGTGGTGAAATATGAGTTACCAGTGGTGGATGGTAGAAGATGGTGTTGGATGGGACTGTTGTGTAACAGAAGATGAGTTACCAGCAGTGGGTGGTAGAAATGGCACTATTATCGGATGGTGGAAGATGGTGTTGGATGGTGGAGGATGAAAGATGATGCCACTATTGGGTTGTAGAAGATGAGTCATCAGTGATGAGCTATGGACAGTGATGGAGCGGAGTTGTGCTGTAGGGCCCTGAAATGGCACAGAGTAGAAGATGACAGAGGATCATGGTGAATAGGAGCTGGGAAGGGCAGAGCTGGGTGCACTATGGGATGGTGAAGGTTGGAGGGTGGAGGTCCTGGATGTCACAGGGGACGTGGTGGGTTTGGGAAATGTGGGGAGAGGAACAGCTGGGTAGCGAGGAGTGGTGAGGATGAGGTTGGAGCATCTCTTGTAGAAAGCAGTACAATTGGATTGTGAAGGACGGAAAGTTATCAGGGTGAACGAATGGCGGAGAGTGTACAAAATGGGGGTGAGGGCCAGGCATGGTGGCTCATGCCTGTAATCCTAG